CTTGATCTCAGAGTGGTGAGTTCGAGCCCCACATTGGGCATGGAACCTACTTAAAAGAAATAAAAATAAATAAACTTAAAAAAAGAGACTTTGGAATCTCTCTAGAAATCAAATCATCTAACCAAGAGGAATGTGTCTTAGTTCCAAGAGGAACTTGTTCTTGCTGGAGAGTAGAAACACGAGTACTTTATGTTCTCCTTTGTGCTTTCCTGAATACTTAACAATGTCTAGAGTGGCCATGCATTCATTCAGCAAATATCATTTAGTAGGTGTTAGCGATAGGCACTGTTCTAGGTGCTGGAGATAGAGCAGTGAATAAGCCAGAAAAAAAATCTGTGTTCTAGACTGGTGGTTGCCAGAGGCAGAGCAGAGGATGGGTCAATATAGGTGAAGGGGGTAAAAAGGTACAAATTTGCAATTATAAAACAAAGAAGTCATGGCAATGTTACCTACAGTATGGTGACTAGAGTTAAAAGTACTGTATTGCAGGGGCACCTGGGTGGGTCAGTCAGTTAAGCATCTGGCTTCAACTCAGGTCATGATCTCACGGTTCAGGAGTTCGAGCCCCACATCGGGCTCTGTGCTGACAGCTCAGAGCCTGGAGCCTGCCTCGGATTCTGCGTCTCCTCTCTCTGCCCCTCCCCCATTCGTTCTCTCTCTCGCTCTCTCTCCCTCTCTTTCAAAAATAAATAAGCGTTAAAAAAATTAAATTGTGCTTAAAAGAGTGACCACTTCTTAAAAAAAAAGTACTGTATTGCATATGTGAAAGTTGCTAAGACAGTAAGTTCTCATCACAAGAAAAAAATTCTGTAACTATGTATGGTGATGGATATTAACTGGACTTTTTAGTGATGATCATTTTGCAATATATACAAATATTGAATCATTATGTTGTATACCTGTAACTAACATAATTTTAATGTCGATTAATTTCAATTTAAAAAAATCTCGGGATGCCTGGGTGGCTCAGTTGGTTAAGCATCTGACTTTGGCTCACAATTTGTGGGTTCAAATCCACATCAGGCTCTGTACTGACAGTGTGGAGCCTGCTTGAGATTCTCTCCCACCCCTCAAAGTAAATAAACTTAAAAAAAAAAAAAAATCTCTGTTCTGATGTCAGTATCTTTTGGTTTTTCCTCTTGGTATGGTCAGATTCTTTGAAGAAGACAAGTCACATTTCCTCTCTGAAGGTAAATGTCTGTAGCCAGAGATTTAGGAATTGAATGGAGGAAGAGGACTAGAAATCTTAGCGTCCAATATCCATAAATCCATTTAATCTTCCCATTTTTATGAAGACTCCTATTCAACCATCTCTGGAGAATAAATACTTCAGTCTCCTTTTAGAGGAAGGAGGGCAGCAGTTGAAGAAGGGAGTGGTAACCTGGAGATCTTAAAGAGCTTTAAAAATTCTTATTTTAATCCCTGCCCAAAGTGCATACTGTACACGGCCCCTGTCCTATATCCCCACAGTGGGCAGGGCGGGAAACCACTGTGATCAAGTCTGGAGACTGGAGGGATTCTGCAGTATAAATCAGGTGGGGTCTCAGCTTTTTCCCCTTTGGATTTAGGATTCGCTTTTCCCCAGGTTGGTAACTTAGTTACACTTGTCTATCTGTTTTCTAGCTTCTACTTTGTTTTTGTTTGTCCCACTGGCTCCTCCTGTTATTGTGGGTTCATTAAAAAATCCCATTACTGGGGCCCCTGGGAGGCTCAGTCAGTCGGTTAAGCGCCTGACTCTTGGTTTCAGCTCAGGTCATGATCTCACAGTTTGTGGGTTTGAGTCTTGCATCAGCCTCTGTGCTGACAGCGTGGAGCCTGCTTGGGATGCTCTCTCCCTCTCTCTCTGACCCTCCTCAGATTGCTCTCTCTCACTCTCTCAAAAAATAAATAATAAAAATAAAAATTAAATTTAAAAAATCCCATTACTGCCATTTTAGTGGTGTTCTAGGAGACAACAGAAGTAGATCTATGTGTTCATCTTCATTAACTGCAAGACTCTCATCACTTTTTATTTGTTTATTTTATAAATTTTTAAAAATGTTTTTCTAAATTTATTTCTGAGAGAGAGAGAGAGAGAGTGAGCAGGGGAGGGTCAGAAAGAGAGGGAGACACAGAATCTGAAGCAGGCTCCAGCCTCCGAGCTAGCTGTCAGCACAGAGCCCGACGTGGGGCTCGAACCTACGAACCGTGAGATCATGACCTGAGCCAAAGCCGGATGCTTAACTGAGTGAGCCACCCAGGTGCCCCTCTCATCACTTTTTAAAAAAATGTTTCTCTAGTTTTGAGAGAGGTGTGTGAGTGAGAAAGGGAGGGGCAGGCCCAAACCCAGGAACCCATGAACTCATGAACCCATGAACCATGAGATCATGACCTGAGGCGAAGTTGGATGCTTAACTGACTAAGCCACCCAGGCGCCCCAAGTCTTACCACTTTTAAGGAACATTTTCTTATCCTAACTTAAATCCTCTCTTGATACCATTTAAACTCTCATTCTCCCCCAGTTGTCCTTAGAATTGGATATTTGAATAAAATATGTACTTTTACATGTGTCCGATTGTGATTTAGGAAGAGTTCATGTCATCCGCATGTTTAAGATTTTAAGTAGCAGAAGACAAATGATCACCTTCCTCAGCAGATCAAAAATAGAGATGAGGCATACACATATTCAAATTGTTAAATTATGTATGTAGAAGGTGTGTAATGGCAGCATCGTCTGTAATACCAAAAGACCGCCAAAAACCTAAAGGGCTATCAGTAGAGGGCTTGTTAAATAAAACATGCCAATCCATATGGTAGCATATTCTACAACTAAAAAGAATGAGGCAGATCTTTAGATTCTGGTCCAGGAGAGCCTGAAAGGGCAGGATAGAGTAAGTATAGTATACTATCATCTGAGCTTAAAGGTACGTTCTTGCACCTGCAACAGGGGTACCTTCGGGGAGGGGAAGTAGGTGACAGGGAGGCAGGGAGTAAAGGAAGACTTAGTTTTCCCTTGTATAACCTTTGTAACCTTTGAATTTATACTACAGGCTTATATTACTTATTTTTTTAAATGTTAATGTTTATTTATTTTGGGGGGGAGGGGCAGAGAGAGAGGGAGACACAGAATCTGAAGCAGGCTCCAGGCTCTGAGCTGTCAGCATAGCGCCTGAGGCAGGGCTCGAACTCACAGTGTGAAATCATGACCTGGGCTGAAGTTGGAAGTTTAACCGACTGAGCTACCCAGGCACCCCATTAGTTTAAAAATAAAGTACCAAAAGGGGTGCCTGGGTGGCTCAGTTGGTTGAGCGTCTGACTCCTGGTTGGGATCAGATTATGATCTCGCAATTTCATGGACTGGAGCCCTGAGTCAAGCTCTGTGCTGGCAGCAAGGAGCCTGCTTGGGGTTCTCTCTCTCTCTCCTCCTCTCTGCTCCTCCCTGCCTCGCACTGTCTCTGTCTCTCTCAAAATAAATATTTACTTAAAAAGAAAATAAAGTACTGATGAATAGTTTTTTTAAAGAATGAACTCCATAGCTTTTACCTAATCTAATGCTCTTCCTCATGACTTCCACCTTTCCAAATGTTCCTTCTTCAAGATAGATATTAATTCCCAAATCCCTTTCTGGACAACCCCAGCCGTGTACTCTCTCATCTGATCTCCTTTGTTAGAAACACTTGCATGTAGATGGGGCACCTGGGTGGCTTAGTTGGTTGAGCAACCGACTTCGGCTCAGGTCATGATCTTGTGGTTAGTGGGTTCGAGCCCCACTCGTCAGGCTCTGTGCTGACAGCTCAAAGCCTGGAGCCTGCTTCCGATTCTGTTTCCCTCTCTCTGTCCCTTCCCCATTTGCTCTCTCTCTCTTTCAAAAAGAAAAAAACAAACAAACACTTGCGTGTGGAGGAAGTGCCTGGGTGGCTCAGTCAGTTGAATGTCCGACTTCAGCTCGGGTCACGATCTCAGGGTTTGTGAGTTTGAACCCCGCATAGGGCTCACTGCTTTCAATGCAGAACCTGCTTTGGATTCTGTCCCCCTCTCTCTCTACCCGTCCCCTGCTCATGCTCTCTCTCTCAAAAATGAATAAACATTAAAAAAAAAAAAGGAATGATTGTATGTGGCAAAATTTTCATACACTGATTTGCTACCACACTGCTGCTGCTTCCTTTAAATAGTATCTGCTATCTTGTATTAAACTTTCCACTTTGTGCTTTCATTTGTGTTCTACTGAGTCTTTTAGGGGTTGCATGGGGACCTTGCAAAAATGAGGAATGCCTGGTGGAGAGTATGTAAGTAAAAAGGAGGGAGTGCAAAAGAAAGAGTCTGAGGCTCCCTCCAGACCTGTCGTCCTTCACACATACTTACTAAGCAGAGATTCATGTGAACCAGTGACCCCTTTTTATAAAACACTAAAAGCCCCCTCACATGTTAACGTTGAATTAACCCAATTATCATGACATTACTATGCTAAGAGCACTTGCACTCAAGGGATGCGAGGTTGGAAGACAGAAGCAAACATTTTAAAGCAAGACTCACAAAAGTTTAGAGCCAAAAGGGCTTGAAGATCAACTAGCCCAGACGCTTACTTCATGATCCCAAGACAAGACACCAGAAGCATTCAGACTCAAACTCAAGTCTCCTCTTAAATTCAGTTGAACTACACCATCCAGCAGAGGTCTGGCCTGGGTGAAATTGGGGGTCACTGCACCGCAAGAAAGATGGGAAAACTCTGTGCCTGGAGAAGAGGGGAAGAGAAAGCAGGAGGGGAAAAAGAGGTGGTTGTTAGGTTTGGTCTCCTTAGTAATTGTGTGCAGGGCTCTTTGGCATTTCTGTCAATAAAAGTCTATATTAGCAGAAGCCAAGTTAAGATAATCAGAACCGGTTTGGAACTGCAAACCTCAACTTCCCCTAACCCAGCCCAGTCCCTTTACTTCCAGAAACCAAGGGAATTCGATTTAAAGCTCTCTGACGACCCTTTCACATCCCCCTTTTCCACACCTGGAGAGAAAGAGGACGCAATATAAACAAGAGCCGTTTCCCTATTTCTAGGGTATTTTCAGCCGATTCCCCAGTATCTACTGTATCCGGAAAGTGAGAACCATTGAGGGTAGCCATGGAGACATTATTGGCCTCAGTCTTGTTTCCTTCCTTCTCTTTGCTATTGAAATCTTCTCTGATTTCACTAAGCGCCCCACTTTTGCTGACGCGGGATTCTGCAGCCTCCTCTGTCTCCTCTCTATGCAGGGCGCGGGAACACGTTTTGAAACGAGGAGAGCGTGTGTGCACAAAAGGGGGCGAGGTTCCACGGGGAGTCAGTCCCGTCCACGGTCTCCAGGTTTCGGAGCCCGCCCCGGCCAGACTACAAGTCCCAGGAGATCCCGCGCAGGGACTGCGCGCCCCAGTCATCCTTCCCTCACTCTCCCGGAGAGTGGAGCTAAAGGTTCCGTTGGCGGCGCACTGCGGATTGGTTTGTTTTCAACGGCGGTGACAGAGGTTGGAAGCCCGGCCGATTGCTGGCGGGGGCGTCAGGGGGTGGATTCCTCCTCCCCGAAGCGCTGGGGGGCGGGGAGGAGGGAAGCGAGGCCAGCGGGCCGGGGACCCAGCAGCCTGGGCAGAGCAGGCTGAGGCGATGGAGGGCGACGGGGTGCCGTGGGCGAGCGAGGCGGTCTCGGGTCCTGGCCCGGGTGGCGGCGGCGGAATGATCCGCGAGCTGTGCCGGGGCTTCGGCCGCTACCGCCGCTACCTGGGCCGGCTGCGGCAGAACCTGCGCGAAACCCAGAAGTTCTTCCGCGACATCAAGTGCTCCCACAACCACAGTTGTCCCTCCTCCCCCACGGGCGGCGGCGGGGCCGAGCTCGGCCCTGCCGGCGACGTCGCCGAGACCGGGCTGCAGGCGGGTAAGGAGGGCAGCCGCGGCGGAGGCAGGGCTGGAGGAGCAAGCCCGAGGGCGGACCGCACCCCTGTCCCTGCAAAACAAGCCGGGAAGGGGCGCAAAGTGGGAGAAGGGCGGCGTGGCCGGGCCCCCGGGCCTGGGCCGGCCGGATCGGCGAGGCCGTGGGCTGGCATCCCCCGGGGCGGGGAGGGGGGGAGTGGGCGGGGGGCGCCCGGAGGCCGGGAGAGGGCGGTGCGCAGGGGCCGGGGGCCTCCGGGGAGGGGGAGGGGGTGAGCGGCTGCGGTCCGAGACCCGCCTGGGGATGGAGGAGTGTAGACGGACGGAGGAAGGGCAGCAGGCAAGGTGCCCGAGGGGGTCAGGGAACTGTAGTGGAGTGTGTGTGTGTGTGTGTGTGTCTGTGATTATGTGAAATGCTTTTGCACGAAAACTCTGAAGAAGTAAGGAGTGTACTGCAAATGGGGCTGGGGTCGCTAAAGGAAATACCTATCTGAGTGCCCGGGTGCCCGAGCGGTTGCTCGTGTTCATGGTGAAGAAGTTAGAGAGGGAAGAGATAGGTGGTGGTGGTGGTGGTGGTGGTTGTCTGGTCCTGAGACTTCGTGACTTGATTCTCCCTGGGTTGTGCTAGAGCCTCTAAAGCACTTAGAATCGTGCAGGGTCTTTGATCTTTCCCAATTTCTTGCTTCCTCTTCAACTGCTTTTGGTGGGGACCCAGAGGGTTTGCTAAGCAGTGCGTCTAATTAGGAAGTGGGTTGGAAGGGAGAAGGGACTGGCGTCCCGCGTGGGCAGGTACGCTGGACAACACAGATAAGTCAGCGCGTTTAATTTACTGATTCTCAAACTTAACTGTGCACTAGCACCAAATTAGCATTAAAAAGGTCTCATGCGATACCCCACAGATGGGGAGTGTCTCATGGGTGGATTCTGAGAATCTAAGCGTAAAACGCCATGGGAGTTTCTGTTGCAAGTGGTCTGCAGGCACACCTGGGGAGGCACAAATGTAGATGCTGTCAGCAAATTTGAACATGAGGTTCAGAGCAGAATGAGTTGTTAACCTCTTCGGAGTTTGTGTGTTGGGTTCTGTATTTTCGAAGTTGCACGTTTGATATCCTCAATTTGTCTGAGACTCCAGAAATGGTGGTAACAGTACGACAGGAGGAATCTGATACGGTCCCAGAGAAAACTATTCCATTTAGTTAGCTTGGATGTAGTAGTGGTTTTGACATCATCTGCCCAGAGGTTTGCTGTTCTGAAAGTGGACCTATAGAGGCTGTCAGGAAACTGGCAAGAAGGGCTAATGTTTTCAGAGATGATCCTCAGAACGCGTACTTTAACCCTCTCCCATAGCAGTGCTTTCTGGCAGCTTTCCTGCTCACAAGTTTTTCTCATAGCTTACCTGAAAGAGTCCACTGTTCTTGTTATTTGATAACAATTATTTATTTTAGAATCGCTACTGGAAAAAAAAAAAAACCTCATCAGGGAGTAGATTCATCGCTGAGAGATGGAGGTTTTCAAGGCACCTGGACAGGCTCCTGTTTTTATTCTTTAAAAGCCAAGTTAAGAAAGACAAATGTACCCTTTGTATTTTGCCTCACTGGCTTTTCTAGTTGACTGCATCACGAACTAATCTTTGCGTATTGTATTTAACTCTCTTCACCTTCTGGAGTCTGTTCATCCGAAACAAAAACCAGGGTAGGGTGCCGATGACTGGACTGGGAACAGTTTGGTTTTGTTCCGTAAAGTGTTTCCATTCTTTTAGGGATGGAGAGTTTTATCATTGGAGGTAAAAATGAGCATCGAGGAAAATCAGTGAGGTGGCGCTTAACTATGTATATTTTCGGAATGGCCATTCCCCCAGCCATTTAGGTAATTGTGTAGAAAGTGGACTAAAACCTTACTCCTTAAAAGACGGCTAGCTCCTGTTTCCTCCTTTTTTCAGGTTATCATTACAAGGTCAAGTCCGCTCAGAGACTGTCTCAGCTTTCTTCTATGAATGTTGGTTTCTGAATAGGAACTTGGAATAGCAAGAGCAAGAACACTGAAAGTTTTTTTTTAATTTACTTTATTTCACCCAACCCCTCACCCACCTCCCCTCTGGCAACCATCAGCTCTGTTTTGTCCCTTTCTTTGCTTATTTGTGTGTGTCTGTGTTTGTGGGTTTCTTAAATTCCACATATGAGTGAAAGGTACACTCAATTCGTAACTTAACAAACTTCTAGAAGGTTTTAATCATGATTTCAGAATAGAAGTGTGCTTCTAGGTTGGAGGTAATGTAGTATTGGAGCAACTGAAGGTCATCTGTTAACTCTTAACTTTTTATTATTCCACGTTTCACCGCAAAGGGGATGGGAAGAACCCCAAAATACTGCTTTCTTATTAATTTTGACAGTTTTGTGTTTATTGGGAGGGGTGGTGGCAGGTTAGAGATTATATAATGGACATGATGTTTTAGAAGCTAAAAAGTAGGTGGAATTGAACTCTTAAAATAGGAGTAGCTTGGCCTGTACAGAGCAAACTGAATTACAAGTGAGATTTCTTTGATTCCATTCCTCCAGTGCTGCATCATTGGCCTTCTTTTCACATAAGTCCAGGGAAAGAGAGTTCCTTTATCTGTTGACTTTCCTCTGTCAGAGGCTTTAGAAGCAATGACATGAAGGCTTTGAGAACTTCTTTGAAAAAAGGCAGAATGGACTGTTACAAAGTAGCACGCGGAAAAGTATTTTTCTTGTTTTGTGATCCAACAGAGTTCTTAGCTGTTGCAACATATCATAGAGGTATGAATTTTAAGAGATTGGAATGACTGGGGGCGCCTGGGTGGCTCAGTCAGTTGGGCGTCCGACTTCGGCTCAGGTAATGATCTCACAGTTCGTGGGTTCGAGCCCCCCGTCGGGCTCTGTGCGGACAGCTCAGAGCCTGGAGCCTGCTTCAGATTCTGTGTCTCCCTCTCTCTCTGCCCCTCCCCTGCTCACGCTTTCTCTCTCTCTCTCTCTCTGAAATAAATTTAAAAAAATTTAAAATTTTTAAAAGAAAAGAGATTGGAATGACTCATATGTGTCTAGTTAGAATGCAGTCTTCTGTGCCGCATTCCTTCAATCCTGTTTCCGCATCACCACTGTGCTGTCAGTTTCCCTGTCTGGAGCGGGAGGTGGGGGGTGGGGATTACATCAGCTGTTATTATTCAATAAACATTTGGTACTTCTCTCTAGGCTTGTTGGGAGTTAATATATGTTGATAGTTGTGTTTAGAACAGTGCCTGGTATCATGCTGTGTATGTATTACACAGTAATATTATTCAATTATTATTCAGTAAAGATTTAAGTACCTGGTATGGGGAACAAAGAATCAAAGACATTGGCCTTGGCCTTAGGTTAGTGGGAATCAATCTTTCCCTTCTATACTTTTCTAGTAAGAAAGAAAAAAGCCTTGTAATGATTATCAATACGGTGCACCTATTATTTGTTTATGCTGGCTGAGGGGTGAAAAGGACTAGGAGTCCTAAAGCCGGTCCTCTAGAAAGGCACAGCCTATCTTCAACCATATACATATGCAACTCCCAAAGCAGAAAGAAAAATGGCACAAAGCTAAGGTATGGCTGGGTTATAGGCATTTGATGTGAGTTGCAGTTCTTATATTTTTAAAAAAGTTTTTTAACGTTTATTCATTTTTTGAGAGAGAGAGAGTGCAAGCAGCAGGGGAGCAGAGAGAGGGAGACACAGAATCCGAAGCAGGCTCCTGGCTCTGGGCTGTCAGCACAGATCCCTACGTGGGGCTCGAACCTATGAACCACGAGATCATGACCTGAGCTGAAGTCAGATGCTTAACTGACTGAGCCACCCAGGCGCCCCACAATTCTTAGATTTTTATAGCTCTTTGCCTTTGGTTAGCAAACAGCTTAGTTCCTTCAACATTTGTTTCCCTCTTTTTTTTCACACCTAGTATAAACCGGGTGCTGATATTTAAAAGAAGAGGAAAAGCACTAGAGTACTGATTTGAAATAGACATTTTTCTTGGACTCCTTAGACAGAAGTTGGTATAGGTAATAACGTTTAAGTGGCAGAATGACATCTGGGAAAGAGACAGGAAAGTGGGCGAGAGGAGATTCCTTATAGCCTCATTTCATGTGGCTGCCTCCTTCATGGGGCTGAGCGGCAGGGAGAGAAGCCGGGTTGTGGGGTGAAACAGTGGAAGACTGGACGGGAGTCTGCTTTCCAGTAGTTTGCCCTGATCTAAAAGAGCTGCCTCAGCTTTTCAGTACAACCCCAGCAGACATGGTGTTGTAATTGTGGTTCTTTATTACTTTTATTAGCCCAAGTGTAATGAAAACTTTCACTTTCTCTCGCAAGTTTCTTCCCGCAGGGAGGCATCACATAGTGGTCGAAAAGCAGGTATAAGCATTTCACTCAGACCTGGTCTCCTGTTGTAGTTCAGCCTCTGAATCACTAGGTGACTTGGGCAAGCTGCTCACCTTTTTTGAGTCTTGGTTTCTTCATCTGTAAAATGATAGATAAAATGCTGTCTATTGTGTGATTCCATCTATGGGAAATGTCCAGAAGAGGCCAATTCAATAAAGATAGGAGGTACAGTGTGATTGCCAGTGGGTGAGGACAGAGGGAAATGAGTGACTGCTGAGGGGTATGGGCTTTCCTTTTGGAGAATGAAAATGTTCTGGAACTAGATAGTGGTGCTGGGTGCACAGGTTTGTGACTATGCTAAAAAAGACTGACTTATACACTCACAGGGTGAGTGTGGATTGCATCTAAATACATCTATACATACATAAAACGGGAGTGCTGATGTCTGCCTGCCAAAGTTGTTGTGACAATCAGAGATGAATACTTTAAAGCACTTAGCACAGGCATACAGTCAGTGTCAAATCGACACGGCTGTTTGTGTGTACGCATGTAGTTGGGGAGCACTGGATCACGAGCCGGAATGTGGTGGGTTCGGGGAAGGATGAGAGCAGTGGAAAGGTGGAAGGGGGGTCCGGAACGGTTTTGAGTTGGAGTG